AGCAGTGATGACTTGGGTATCTGGGTTCCTGTCACCCACATGGGAGACTTCATTGAGTTCCTGCCTCCTGGCTTTAGCTGGCCCAGTTCCAGCTGTTGTGGGCATTTGGGAAATGAACCCGTGGATTCTCTCTCTCTCTCTCCCTTTCAAATAAATAAACATCTACTTTGTCAAAGACTGAAGAAAACATGGAAAAATTAAGCAAATTTTGCTAGATAGTAGAATTATGTATCTTTTTGCTTCTGTAAATTAAACAATACCACTATAAAGCGTGTGCCGGGGCCAGTGTTGTGGCATAGCAGGTTAAACTGTCACTTGTAATGCTGGCTTCAGTATGGGTGCTGGTTGGAGTCCTGGCTGTTCCACTTCTGATCCAGCTCCCTGCTAGTGCATCTGGGAAAGCAGCAGAGGCTGGCCCAAGTGCTTTGGTCCCTGCACCCATGTGGGAGACTTGGAGGAAGCTGCTGGCTCCTGGATTCAGCCTGGCCCAGCCCTTGCCATTGCGGCCATTTGGAGAGTGAACCAGTGGATGGAGGATCTCTCTCTCTCTAACTCATTCAAATAAATAAATAAATCTTTTAAAAAATTATTAGACATATGTCATACAATAAACCAGGGGTCAGCACACTTTTTCCATCAAGGGCTGGATTATAACTATTTGGGGCTTTACAGGCCCCTAATCCCTGTTGTAACTGCTCAAAACTTTATTTATCAGCACGAAATTTAAACTTTATATAATTTCTACATATCACAAAATAGTCTTCTTTCCATATTTTTGGATTTATTTATTTGAAATTCAGAGTTATGGAGAGAAGAAGAGCCAGAGAGGGAGAGAGAGAGAGAGAGAGAGAGAGAGAGATCTGCCATCTGCTGATTCACTCCCTAAATGGCTGCAATAGCCAGGGTGGACCAGGCTGAAGCCAGGAGCCAGGAACTTCATACAGGTCTCCCATGTGGGTGGCAGGGACCCAAGCACTTGGGCCATCTTCTGCTTTCCCAGGCCATAGCAGGAGCTGGATCAAAAGTGGAGCAGCTGGGACTTGAATGGGTGCCCATAATGGATGCCAGGATCCCAGGCGGCACTTAACCTGTTACACCACAACACTGGCCCCTTCTTTCCATTTTTTAAAAACACTTTAAAAATGTACAAGCCATTTGTAGCTCACAGGATCATGCACTACCTCTGGCACACAGGTAGTAGTTCTTGTGCTATAGATTAAAGAATAAATAGAATATAAGAAAAAGATTAAATGGAGTGGCGCTGTGGTATAGTGGGTAAAGCCACTGCCTGCAGTGCCAGCATCCCATGTGGGCACTCGTTTGAGTCCTGGCTGCTCCACTTCCAATCCAGTTCTCTGCTATGTCCTGGGAAAGCAATGGAAGAGGGCCCAAGCAGCCTACCTGGGAGACCTGGAAGAAGCTCCTGGCTCCTGGCTTTGGATCGGCCCAGCTCTGGCCATTGCAGCCATTTGGGGAGTGAACCAGCGATGTAAGACGTCTCTTCTCTCTCTCTCTCTCTGCCTCTCTGCCTTTCAAATAAATAAATAAATCTCAAAAAAAAAAAAAAGAAGTTTACGATGTAAATAGAGTTTGGTTTTGCCGTGCTCTGATCCTGTTCCCTTCCCTCTCTCCAGTGGGCACTGCAATCCTGGGTTACTCGTGTGGCGTTCCCATGCATGTTGTAGACTTTTGCTACATATGTGCAATCCATAAACAACATGCTTGCCATGTTTTGCAACTTTATAAATAGCATTGCATTGTACATATGCTTCAGCAACTGGCTTTTTCACTCAACATTCTGTTAATACTTGGAGCTCTGCTTACTCATCTTAACTGCAATATACTGTTTTACTACGTGAGTATTCCTCAACTCTCATTCTCACTTGTTTTGAACAGTGCTGAGTCACCTATAAGAGAAAAACTGATCTCCCTCACACCCTTGGCCAGTAGCCATCTGATAGCTCATGTGTCATTCTTCTAGAGCAATTATTCTGGAGCCCCTAACCGCCGGCAGGGACATTCAAGATCGTTTTATGGATCTCAGGGAGAGGAAGCACTTTGCCCAAGGTTGTCAGTGCCGAAGATGAACAGCCAGGCTTCCTCTCTCTCGTGCTTCTTTGCTGTAAGAGAAGTAAGCTGGGAGCGGATTCTGATGTCAGGTTGGGGAGAGACGAGGAGGGCATGGGTGAAAGAAGGAAGGGGAATGCCATGGGGGTGAGAACAGGGTACAGAAACATGGCTTCAGCTCCCTGCAACCCTGCACCAGATCACTGCCAGGCTGTGTAGACAGAAGCTAATCTTTCCACCCACCTAGCTTTTCCTGAGAAGCTACTGTGTTTTCCAGGCACCAAACTGTATCAAGAGCACTTTCTCTGCCTTCAGCAAGTATGTGAGGGTACTTCAGAAGGTTTGGAAAAATGGAGTGAAAATAAAACTTTATTGTAATACCAAAAAAAAAATATTGAAATCCATGCATAGGTTTTCCATAGGATGCATTTTTCCATGAACTTTTTGGAGGCCCCTCCAAAACCTAATAGAGTAGAAAGTAAAGCAGTTAACAAGTGATACAAGTAGAAGTGTTCTTTATGTCCTAAGAAAACACGGAGTTAAACACACACACACACACACACACACTCACACAGGAGCATGGTGCCCTCTGCTTAGGAAGCTGGGGAAGATTTTGAAGGATCAGTCGTTCACCATGAGAGGGAAAAGCATTCTAGGCAGAAGGATGAAACATATATGGAACCATGGCGTCTCAACATTTGAGAAACCATGTAGGAGTCGCCGTCGGAGCCTCACTCGTATCCCTGGACATCCCAGCCCCCTCAGTGCATCTCTTCATGAAAAGACCCCTTCCCTAACTCCCAGGAACCACAGAAAACCAGGCTCCCCACATTCAGGGCACACGGGACGCCTCCTGGGAGTGGCCCCGAGCAAGGACTCTCAGGAACTGGGACATACATGCCATAGCTGCTTCCGAGCTTAGGCAGGCTGACTGGACAGTGTCTGTTTCACAGAGCCTCTTCAGAGAGTTGTCCATTGTGGTGATTGGCTCATAGTGCACCCTTTGTTGACTGCCTTCCTTCCCTGCATCATTTCCGCTCTTCCTTGTGGGTGTTTCTGTCACCTTCAGATAAACCACTTGCACCTTTTCACCTTTGTCTTAGGGTCAGCTTGTAGGAGGACACAAATTAAAATAGACCATAAGCTGCTCAATATGGTGAGACCAGAGAATACTGAGAATGGGGTGCAGTGACAGGGATATGGGGCCAAGGCTTATCATGGTCTTCTTCTAATGTCCTACAAGGCTTGTGCTATCTTCTATGGGAAACGGGGGGCATTCGTTGAGATGGCTTGTTTGTTTGTTTGTTTTACTTGAAAGGCAGTGTGACAAAGGGAAGGAGAAACAGAGAAAGCTCTTCCATCCGCTGGTTCCCACCCTAAATGGCTGCAACGGCTGGGGCTGGGCAAACCTGAAGCTGGGAGCCAGGAAATCACTTCTGGGTCTTCCACCTGAGTGGCAGGGGTCCAAGTACTTGAGCCATCTTTTGCTGCCTTCCCAGGTGCATAGCAAGGAGCTAGGTAGGAAGCAGAACAGCCAGGATGCAAACTGGTGCTCTGATATGGAATCCTGGCATTGTGAGAGGTGGTTTAACCCACTGTGCAACATTGTCAGACCCCAGTCATTGACAGGCTAAGCAGGGATTTGACATGAGCAGATGTGTTATAGATGCAAAGTATTCATATAACCAACCATTAAGTGGCTTCTATCACACATAGAATGAAGTCCAAATTCATAACCAAAGACTGAAGGGGAGTTAGATGACCTGGCATCTCCAGAAGTGTCCATTTGATTTGGCAACTGTGAGGTTATTGTTGTCTGTAACAGCGCAGCAGATGAAGAGTTGCAGTAGACTAGATTATTGTTCTTGGGTCTCACCCACTGTTGCCATGTACCTCACAGTACACAAGGGTGGAGGGAGTATATTTCTCTGCCTGCTAGACTTCTGGCCAGCAGTATGGGAGTAAAAGTGACCGTGTGCCCTAAGAGACACTGCCCGTTCCCACTCCTGACCTTCCCCGGGTGAGGAAGGTGCCCTGAGGAGCTACTGGTCCAAGGAAGATGAAATGTGTGGCGCAGACAAAAGCTCCAACTGGTGGCATTTGGCACAGCAGTTAGGTCCTCCCTTGGGGCTGCCACACCCCATACCAGTGCCGGGGTTCAAGTCCCGGCTCTACTTCCAACTCCAGCTTCCTGCTAATACACATCTTGGAAGGCAGCAAGTGCTGACTCACGTAGTTGGGTCCCTGCCACCCAGGTGGAAAACCTGGATTGAGTTCCTAGGTGCTGCCTTCAGCCTGGCAGGGTCCTGGCTGTTGTGGGCATTTGGGGAGTGAACCATCAGATGGAAGACCTCTCTCTCTCTCTCTCTCTCTCTCTCTCTCTGCCTTTTAAGTGAATACAGTTAATAAACAAACAAAAACTAAAGCTTGACCCCAAACCCATTCATCTTGAAGACATTCTGAGGCATGAATGAGAAAACAGCAGCTCGTGGTTGTCGGCCCTTGAATTCTGCAGCGTTGCTCTGGCTACAGCTCATCACCCCGGGAGTGAAGCGGAGAAGGAGAGTCAGCCAGTATTCTCTGAAGAAGCCTAGCTGGGGAGAGGAGAGGCTGGCAGGTGTCTCCCTCCTCATCGCCGTTGCTTTGTGGTGGCCTTTAGCCACCTGGGATATAAACGCCTTTGCCATCCACGGAGAATTTCTCATTCCCTGACTCTTGGTGGGCAGCAGAGCCCATCTCCCAGGAGCATGGCTGATAATGCCACTCTCCCACCCTCTCTTGTGAGTGAATCAGGGGCACGGGTCGTCTACTCTGCGAGGAAGATACACCCACCCCAGGCTTTGAGTCAGGAAGAGCTTGTGAGGCAAAGGAGCAGAAGAGAATCTGTTTTTTTTTTTTTTTTTAAAGATTTATTTATTTATTTTAAAGTCAGAGTTACACAGAGAGAGGAGAGGCAGAGAGAGAGAGAGAGAGAGAGAGAGGTCTTCCATCCGATGGTTCACTCCCAGATGTGTTCACTCCCCTGGAGCTGTGCCGATCCGAAGCCAAGAGCCAGGAGCTTCTTCTTTGTCTCCCACGTGGGTACAGGGGCCCAAGGACTAGGGCCATCTTCTACTGCTTTCCCGGGCCATAGCAGAGAGCTGGATAGGAAGTAGAGCAGCTGGGTCTTGAACCGGCGCCCATACGGAATGCCAGTGCTTCAGACCAGGGTGTTAACCCACTGTGCCACAGTGCTGGCCCCAAGAATCTTTTTTGATGGGCACCGGTAGCAGCAACATCTGGGATCTGGTGCTCGAAGCACTGTCAGTGTAACTACGGAGTCACGTGCTCACCAGTGGGGCCGGCCTTGTTGCTGTCTGCAACGCTTGCCAGTGGCAGTGAGCGGAATCTGCCGTGACCGGCTCTGTGGTGTGACATTGGCCACCACCCTGTAAGCCAAACTCTGAACATGGCGTGGCAGGTTGACTGCGAGAAGGGCCTCGGTTCCTCACTTCAGGGCCTCGTCTTGCTGGACCTCCCGATGCCGGTTCTGGGCTCATCCTTACTGACAGAAATGAGAAGTCTTCATGAAAAGGCTCAGATAAGGTTTATTCAGGGAAGATTGAGTGACCCAGGCCTGGCAGACACAAGCCCAGTGGCATGTAAAAAAAAAAAAAAAGACTTATTTTATTTCTTTGAAAGGCAAAAGAGACAGAGAGAGGGGGAGAGACAGAAACAAAGAGAGAAAGCGATCTTTCATCTGCTGGTTCACTCCCCAAATGGCTGCAAGAGCTGAAGTTGGCCCAGGCCAAAGTCAGGAGCCTGGAACTCCATCCAGGTCTCTCCCTGGGATGGCAGAGAGCCAGGCACTTGGGCCATCTCCTGCTGCTTTCCCAGGAGCATTAGCCAGGAGCTGGATCAGAAGTGGAGCAGCTAGAATTCAAACTGATCTTCATAGGGGCTACAGATGTTGCTGGCTGCAGCTTAACCCACTGAGCCACAGTGCCTGCCCCAAGCCCAGTTACTTTTTTTTTTTTTTTTTTGACAGGCAGAGTGGACAGTGAGAGAGAGAGACAGAGAGAAAGGTCTTCCTTTGCCGTTGGTTCACCCTCCAATGGCCGCCGCGGGCGGCGCGCTGCGGCCGGCGCACCGCACCGATCCGATGGCAGGAGCCAGGAGCCAGGTGCTTTTCCTGGTCTCCCATGGGGTGCAGGGCCCAAGCACCTGGGCCATCCTCCACTGCACTCCCGGGCCACAGCAGAGGGCTGGCCTGGAAGAGGGGCAACCGGGACAGAATCCGGCGCCCCGACCGGGACTAGAACCCGGTGTGCCGGCGCCGCTAGGCGGAGGATTAGCCTAGTGAGCCGAGGCGCCGGCCCGCCCAGTTACTTTTAATAAGACTTGGGAACTGTTGCAAAGGGATCACATTCTTTTCAGAATGTATATATTCCATGATGGTAGATTTTCATTTATCATCGCACAGTGAACATTGCGTGGCCTCAAAACCCAGACTTTAGCTAAGCAGGAGTGAGGTTCTCACAGGTTTGGAGATTAGCTTCCCTTTTAAAAGAAATATTTATTTGAAAGGTAGAAAGACAGAAATCTTCCATCTGCTGGCTCAACCCCCAAATACCTGCAACAGCTGGACTGGGCCAGGCCAACGCCAGGATCCAGGAACTCAATCTGAGTCTCCCACTTAGGTGGCAGTGATCCAAGCACTTGAGCCATCGCCTACTGCCTTCCAGGGTGAACACTGCATAAGGCTGGTGTCAGAAACAGAACATGGACTTGAACCCAGGCATTCCAATATGTGATGCAGACGTCCCAACCAGCATCTTCAACACTGTGCCAAATGCCCAACCCTAGCGCTTACTTTCTGTAGGATATGATTGGTTATAAACATCTTCAGAGGCAGGGAGGAAAGAGGTTACTGAAAAGAAGGCTTCTGATTTAATTTGCAAAAGGACCTTTCTGGGAATAGGTAATAAATAGTTAGATAAAGAACAAAGGACTGTACCTGGTTGCTCCAGCTGGCTGAAATGAAACAGTCCCTATGTGCACATCACCCAAAGTAGAACTGCCCCGGTAGATGTGACTAACAGCTCTGTCTGGACGCTCAGACGGCCCCAGTGTCTCTCAGATGCTTTGCAGGGTTTTTAGAGGCAGTTTGTTTTCGCCCTTGTGACTTCCTTTGGTCATTAGCATGTTAGTAAACATTACACGAGCAGAGGACTAAAAGCACTTGTGTAATTGGACTTGCTCTCCGCCATTGCCATGAGAACATGTCTAGGCTAGCCGGAGGGATGATGAGACAGGTGGCACCAGGCCAAGGCTGTCTGAGTTATCCCAGCTGGGGCCATCCTAGATCAGCCAACAGCCAGATGAACCTCAGACACAGCAGTGAGCTCAGCCGAAAGCAACAGCGCTGCCTGGACAACCAACAGCTGACCCCGGACACACTTGCCGGACTCCAGCGGCCATCAGCCCGGCTTGGCCCGGCCTGGCCCGGCCCACAGACCCAAGGCTAAAGCCACGTTCGTGGTATGCTGCTGAAGTCTTTGCGCTTGACTTCATGGTGTCATTGTGGTGATTGAGAGCTGATACAGATGACCCCTCAGCCTTCTCCACAATTCTACCAACTGTGCTTTTTCTGCAGAAATCAGCCAAGGGTTGGTATCTGTTGCTTGCCCTGACACAGAGAAAGAGTGAAGGTAAATGAAGAGGAAACGCAGGGTCAAGGGAGAGGTAGGGGGAAAGAGACTTCAGCATTGCCTGCAGGCACAGAGAAAAGGAGAAATTTGTGTTTGTTAAGATGTGAGTGTAGCTGCAAAGTCACAGGGCTTTTAACCTAATGGAAATTCACAGCTTTTCTCCCGGCCTGAGCCTAGGCAGGTGTGGCTGCATGCTCTGTGAAATCTTTGGGCCCCAAGCCCCTCTTCTCTGTTGTTCCATTGTGTGAAGACGTGGTGGCCCAAGATGGCTCCCTACTCCCCCGGCATTTTAACCACTGAGAGGAGGATGCGGGAGCACATGACCCTTCTCCTTAGTGAGCAGTGGTTATCTATTTATTTATTTAAAAGATTTGCCGGCGCTGTGGCTCAATAGGCTAATCCTCCACCTGTGGCGCCGGCACCCCAGGTTCTAGTCCCGGTCGGGGTGCCGGATTCTGTCCTGGTTGCCCCTCTTCCAGTCCAGCTCTCTGCTGTGGCCTGGGAGTGCAGTGGAGGATGGCCCAAGTCCTTGGGCCCTGCACCCGTGTGGGAGACCAGGATAAGTACCTGGCTCCTGCCTTCGGATCAGCGCCGGCCACAGCGGCCATTGGAGGGTGAACCAACGGTAAAGGAAGACCTTTCTCCCTGTCTCTCTCTTTCACTGTCCACTCTGCCTGTAAAAAAAAATAGTAATAATAAATAAAAGATTTATTTATGGGGCCGGGGCTGTGGTATAGTGGGTAAAGCCCCTGCCTGCAGTGCCGGCATGCCATATGGGTGCCTGTTTGAGTCTCAGCTGCTCCATTTCTGATCCAGCTCTCTGCTATGGCCTGGGAAAGCAGTAGAAGATGGCCCAACTGCTTGGGCCCCTGCATCCATGTGGGAGGCCCAGAAGAAGTTCCTGGCTCCTGACTTTGGATCGGCCTGGCTCCAGCAATTACAGCCATTTGGTGAGTGAACCAGCTGATGGAAGACCCTTCTTTCTCTCTCTGTCTCTCTCTCTGTCTTTCCCTCTCTCTCTGTGTGTAGCTCCATCTTTCAAAAAAATAAATGAAAGAGTTACAGAGAGAGAGGTCTTCCATCTGCTGGTTCACTCCCCAGATGGCCACAACATCCAGTGCTGGACTGGCCGAAGCCAGGAGCCAGGAGCTTCATCCAGGTCTCCCATGTGGGAGGCCGGGGCCCAGGTACTTGAGCCATCATCTGCTGCTTTTCTTAGACACATTAGCAGGAAGCTGGATTGGTGCCCATATGAGATGCCAGTGTTTCAGCCGGCGGCTTTACCTGCTGTGCCACAACGTCAGCCTCTATTTATGGGGTGTGTGTGTGTGTGTGTGTGTGTGTCTTGTTTAATATTTATGGATTTATTTGAAAAGCAGAGTTACAGAGAGAGAGAGAGGAGAGATTTCCCATCTGCTAGTTCACTCCCCAGATGGCTGCAATGGCTGGGCTGAGCCAGGAGCCTGGATTTCCATCTGGGTCTCCTATGTGGGTGGCAGCAGCTCAAGCACTTGAGACAAATTCCACTGCCCACCTAGGTGCATTAGCAGGAAGATGATCAGAACTGGAGCAGCCAGGACTCAAACCAGCACTCATATGGAATACTGGCGTTGCAGGCAGTGGCTTAACCTGCTGTGCCACAAAGCTGGCTCCTATGTATTTATTTTCATTTGAGTAGCAGAGGGATGAGGGTGGAGGGAGAGTATGGGGGTGAGAGAGAGTGTGTGTTCTTATCAGTTGGTTCGCTCTCCAAATGCCCACAATGGAACTGGGCCAGAGCCACAGTCAGGAGCTGGAAATGCAATCCAGGTCTCCCTTGTGGGTGACAGGAGCTCAATTACTTTAGTTGTCATGGCTACCTCCGAGAATTGGCATTAGCAGGAAGCTGGAGTCAGGAGCCTGAGCCAGGTATCACACCCCCAGGTACTCGGATGTGGGACACAGGATCTTATCCAATGTCTTAACCACTAGGTTAAACATCACCCCAACTTCATTTCTTAATCTTTCAACCCAGGCCGGCACTGTGGCACAGTGGGTTAAGCTTCTGCCTGCAGCACCAGCATCCCATATGGGTGCCAGTTCAAGTTTCAGCTGCTCTACTTCCGATCCAGCTCTCTGCTAATGTGAATGGAAGGGCAGCAGAGGATGGCCCAAGTGCTTGCACCCACGTGGGAGACTCAGGGGGTAAAAAAAAAGCAGACTTAAAGAGAGAGAGAGGAAGAGACACAGAGAGATCTTCTATCTGCTGCTCCACTCTCCAAATAGCCGCAACAGCAAGAGCTGGGCCAGGCCAAAACCAGGAGCTTCATCTGGGTCTCCCACATGGTTGGCAAGGACCCAAACACTTGAGCCATCCTCTGCTGCTTTTCTCAGGCCATTAGCAGGGAGCTAGATCAGAAGCAGAGCAGCTGGGATTTGAACAGGTGCCCATATGGGATGCCGGCGTCACAGGTAGTTGCTCAACCTGCTATGCCTTGATACTGGCCCCCAACCTATTTGGTCACATGGCCATGCTCAGCTGCAGGGGAGGCTGGGAAAGCCAATCTTATTCTGACCAACCACACGTATATCCAAACACTCTGCTTCTGTGGGAGAAGGGGCCAGCAGGTAGTAGTAGTCTGTCACGTTAAAGGAGAAGGGTTAACTAACAGAGCCAGGTCTATGTGTGTGGGAGACTTTATTGGCCATTTCTTTCCTTCTTCCTTGTTAAGGAGGCTCATGTTTTGGAGGGGTGGGGCGTCTGTGTTTCCAGTGTGGGTATCAATCATGATTTGTCTGAATCAGTTATGGAGATGCTGTCAGCTCTCCGTCTTCCCTGTGGTTGTGAATGGGCACGCGACCCTGTTCTGACCCATGAGCCACAGAGGGAAGAGTGTTCAGGGTTTCTGGGCACTGCTTCACTTCCTGCGGGAGAGACAAGCATGGAGGCGGGCTTAGCGGCCTGCTCCTGCCTGCGATGCTGGTGTGTGGTGTGTGGCACTGATGGGAGGCAGTCGGCTTGTGACCACGAAAGAAAGGTCAAGGGGAGCCTAGCAGTTAGGATGCCTGGGTCCCATGTCAGAGTGTCTGGTTTGATTCCCAGCTCCAGCTCCTGACTCCAGCTTCCTGCCAGTGCAGACCTTGGGAGGTAGCAGCGAGGGCTCCAGTGATTGGGTTCACCCGTGTGCTTGAATTCCCAGCCCTGTCCCAGCTGCTGTGGGTATTTGGGGAGTGAACGGGGGAGGGGAGGCTCTCCCTCCCTCTCCCCATCACTCTGCCTCTCAGATAAACAAAATCTAAAACGCCAAGAGAAATACCAAGAGAACTGCAAAAGTGCACCTAGAACCCTGACGCCTTGTTAAGGATCCAAGTGACTTTGAGGGGCCAGCAGGTGGAGAAGGGGAAAAAAGAAATGTGAGGAAGTGAGAGTGCTACATCCGGGAGGAGGAATGCGCGCCCCCGCCCCCGCGCCCCAGCCGCCCCCGCCCCGCGCCCTCTCTCCCGCCCCGGGCGGGGCTGGGCATCCACTCCGGAGGACTTCGTGTGCAGCAGTGTGATTTATTGGCTCGATGACCTCATTCCCAGTCGGGGCAGGTTTCCCTGCTCGCGGACTGATTCACCGCCAAAGCGTGACAGGCATTTTCTCTTTGGAGGTCTGAGAGGTCTTCCACCGCTTCCCTCAGCGGGGATTGCCGGGCCTTTTGTTTTGGCAACTCTGGGTCTGGAGCTCTAGATTCTGTGGGTGAGGAGGGAGGGCCGCCTGGAAAAGCTGAGGGAGAGGAACGCGTCCCAGCCCCTGCAGCCAGGGGGAGGATGGTGCCCACCCTGGGGCTGTGTCCGGCTCCTCCCCAGACCCCAGGGTGACGGGCTGGACACTTGGCCACGCCCCTCAGGGCTGTGAGCGGCAGCAAGCCCCTCCCAGGAGCACCACCAGCCCTTCCCCCAGACGCCATGACTGGGTGAACTCGGGGCTTCTCTGTGGTTTCAGCAAGGGGTGAGAGGGAAGGAGAGCAAAACCAACAAATGCAAACCCAGCAGGTTGAGGCAGACTTTCTCTTGAATTCTGTGAGGACATGGGCAGAGTCAGACTACATATTAACTTTTAAAGATGAAGATAAGATCCTGAATCACTTTCTGCATTAGATGGTGTGCGATATGCCTTCAGTGATGGTGCAAATTCATGCCGTGGTTATACAGAGCCAAGGAAGTGAGAAAGGTCATGAATTATCTTAGCGACTTTTTAAAGTTGATGGATTTGTTTTTTAAAGAAAACGTAGAAGGTACATCTCTAGGAATTCACTCATTTGTACTATATACAAAGTGTCCATTTTCATTTAAAAAATCTAATTGAATTGACCTGATCCTGCCAGACTAGAAGGAAATCCAACCTCTGTTATCACTGAGGCTGCCCTGGTTCGCTGGGAGGCCTCTGAAGCTGGATGTAGACCCCACAGGGAAACAGGAGCCAGCCTCTCACCTGCAGCTTTACGGCCGCCTGGACCAGCCACACGATGGGGCCCCGAAGCCCCCGAAGCTCCCCCCATCCTGCTTCCAGCCCCAAGTGGGTGACAGACATAACCTCAGCAGGCGTGGGGCAGGGAGTCCCTAGCACCTGAGGTCCATTCCGCTCCCCAGGCACAGTGCTCCCTCCCTGGAGGTCTGCCACTGAGAAATGGGGGTCTCCCTGCTCTCCTCTCCTAGACAGAGAGTAATGCCCTTGTTGTATAAGGAACTTACACATGTTGGGAAAAAACACAAAACCACAAACATCCTAATACCTGAGCATATTAAATAAAGGGCATTGCTTGCAAAAACAGCAGTAAAACTGTGAACAAGGAGAACAGGTTGGGCACAGCAGTTGTCACAGCGTAGAGCACTTCCGCCCCATGTCATAGAGCCTGGTTTGGGTTCTGGCTCGTCTGCTTCCAACCCAGCTTCCTGCTGATGCACACACTGGGAAGCAGCAGGTGACGGCTCAGGTACTTGAGCCCCTGCCACCCAAGTGGGAGACCCAGACTGAGTTCCAGACTCCTGGCTTCACCCGAGCCAAGCCTGTTACAGGCATTCGGGGAGTGACCCAGCAAATAAGAGATGGCTGTGTGTCTCTCTGTCTCTGTGTCTTTCAGTTGAGTTAAAAGTGAAGGAATGGATACATAAAAAACACTCCCTGCCTCCTGCTGTGTACACTCTGTTGTGCCCTCCTATAGTCCCCTGCAGGGTCCGTGTGTGTGAGCAATGGAACCTGGCAGAAGTGACGGGTGTCAGATCTGAGATGAGGAGTTAAGAGGCACTGCAACTTCTGTTTTAATCCCCCTCCTCCCTCTCTCTCTCTCTCTCTCTCTCTCTCTCTCTCTCTCTCAGAGCTTGCTCCTGAGAAGCCAGCTCCCATGCCATGAAGAAATTCAAGCACCATTCAGAGAGACCGGGCAGGTAAGAAATTGAGGTCCCTGGCCGATCGCCCGCTGAGGGCTAGGCTTTCTGCCAACTGCCCTGTTTGTGAATTTGGATGAGGACCATTCCCCAAGGTGGAGCCATGAGTCCTAGTGGTAAAGTGCCTGTGACAATAGATGAAATGTGTCCCACCTCTTTAGCCACCCGGACATGAGCCCCAAGTGCTGAACTACTGCCAGGTTTCCTGTTAGGAAAAGAAAATCTCTGGGCCCTTGCTGTGGCAGAGCAGGTAAAGTCGCTGCCTGCGACGCCAGCCTCCCACATGGGCATGGGTTCCAGTCCTGGCTGCTCCACTTCCGATCCAGCTTCCTGCTGACATGCCTGGGAAAGCAACAGAAGAGAGCCCAAGTGCTTAGGCCCCTGCTACCCAAGCGGGGGACCCGGAAGAAGCTCCCGGCTCCTGGCTTTGGTCTGGCCCAGCCCTGGCCATCTGGGGAATGATCCAGTGAAGGGAAGATCTCATTCTCTCTCTCTCTCTCTCTGAAACTCTTTCAAATAAATAAATCGGTTAAAAATAATAATTTTTAGATTTAGATATAAATTATTTGCCACACATCAATACTTATGCTCAATCTCAAGAGTAATCAATAAAATGCAAAAAGTAAAATAAGGTTCTTTCTCTCTTGGTGTTGACATCCTTAGCATATCTACTCATGTCTTCATGCCTGTTGCCTCAGTAACAAAATAGCTGCTGTAGCTCCAGGCATCACACCACATCAAAGCCAAAAACAAAGAAGATGTAAGGATGGTGCTAGCCATATCATTCTCTTTTCTCAGTTAAAGCAAAAACTCTTCCAAAGATTCCCCCCACAAATTCCTGCTTGTGTGTCATTTGCTAGGACTGTGTCCCACAGATGCTACTAATACAAACCAATATTTTATCAGAATCTGGGCTCACTGTCATCCTGAGCAAAAGCAGATTTCTGTTAGCAAAGAAGGGGGAAGAGGTATCGAGAAGGAAGCTAATGCTGTCGGCTGCAGCACCGTTTAATAAGTAGGGCTTTCACCTGTGTGACAAATAGCTGTCAGCCCTTGGCATCAAGGGTGCACATGAGCAGGAAACTGGATTGGAAGTGGAGGAGCCAGGACCGTAACAAGGCACTCCACTGTGCAATGTGGGCACCCCAGGCACATGACTGCTGAGCCGAACGCCCTCCCCTCCTTTTAGATTATTAGTTATTTTTAATAATGAAGTCTTCCACCCAAAGTAAATTAGGATCTTGTGGAATAACTTGCATCTGACTGCATGGCTGCCCAATCCGTTTCACTTCCTCCCCTTGGTTTAGATGATCTTCGTCCTCAATCCTGACTTTGTGACTCCTTTCCTCTCCAAGTGTTACCATTTTATTGTGTCTATTTATAACCCTAAAATGCGTGTGTGCATAGTTCTTGATAACTGAATTTTTTTTTTTTTTTTTGACAGGCAGAGTGGACAGTGAGAGAGAGAGACAGAGAGAAAGGTCTTCCTTTGCCGTTGGTTCACCCTCCAATGGCCGCCGCGGCCGGCGCGCTGCGGCCGGCGCACCGCGCTGATCCGATGGCAGGAGCCAGGAGCCAGGTGCTTTTCCTGGTCTCCCATGGGGTGCAGGGCCCAAGCACCTGGGCCATCCTCCACTGCACTCCCTGGCCACAGCAGAGGGCTGGCCTGGAAGAGGGGCAACCGGGACAGAATCCGGCGCCCCGACCGGGACTAGAACCCGGTGTGCCGGCGCCGCTAGGCGGAGGATTAGCCTAGTGAGCCGCGGCGCCGGCCCAACTGAATTTCTTTGTCTACTTCTTTTCTCACTATTTTTTAAAGATTTATTTATTTATTTGAAAGAGTTATACAGAGAAAGGAGAGGCAGAGAAAGAGAGAGAGGTCTTCCATCCGCTGGTTTACTCCCAGAATGGCCTCAACAACCGGAACTAAGCTGATCCAAAGCCAGGAGCCAGGAGCTTCTTCAGGGTCTCCCACGTGGGTGCAGGGGCCTAAGGACCTGGGCCATCTTCCACTTCTTTCCCAGGCCATAGCAGAGAGCTGGACTGGAAGTGGAGCAGCTGGGACTAGAACCAGTGCCCATAAAGGATGCTGGCACTGCAAGATTCAACCTTATTGTGTTGCTATAGTCATTCATTTTGACAACAGTTGCACCCTCTAATTGTGTGGCCATGTAGCAATTTATCGGACACCTGTTCCATTCTCCTGGTTTTCTCTTTGCTAGTTAACCAGTCTAACTCGGTCACACCCGTTTGCCAGGAGCTTTGCATGTGGTCCTAGCAGGTCCCCTGCACCTTCTGTAAAGACTGCAGGGGCTCCCGCATCTACTCCAGACTCGCACCATGGCTTTGCAGGCAGTTGCCTTGCTCAGTGTGCTGTCCATTATTCACACTGGGCTACCAGCCAGAGGCTGACCAATAACGATGCTGGCCTGACAGGGCCGGGTGCCCACGGAGAGCCCTTAGCTTCAGTGAGGATGGATGGAGGGGGAGGAGGAACATCAGTTGGTGGGTGAATATTTCCTTGCTTCCCTGGGAAACCTGGGAAAGGCAGGGATGTGGATCATGAACACTTGGAAAAGCAGAATCCCCTGCACCTCGGCAAATTCTTTAACCACGCCTCCAGGGAAAGGTGGGACCAGACCCCCCTTCCCTGTCTACAGGCCAGCCTTGGGGCCGCGCTCCTGCAGGAGAGTGCAGGAGAAGTGTCGCTGTGGGACTGCTGAGGTTGCATTGGGAAAAGGGAGGCGGCTTCCACCTGGCTTGCTCTTCTCTGGACGCTTACCGTTGGGGAGCAGCCGTCAGGACATGAAGAAGCCAGAGGCACGCATGCAGAGCCCCTGCGGCGAAGCCGTGTGCACAGGAACTGGGGCCCCCAACTGATGCTGATGGAGCCATCATCAGTCACCAGCCAGGAGAGGCCCAAATCCATGGAGCCCTGTCCAAATCCCCCACCACACCCAGAGGTAAGTTAACCCTCTGTGCTCCGTCTCTGTGCTCCGTCCAAAGCTCTCACAGAATCTGTGCACATACTAAGTGTTTGTCTTATGCTACTATGTTTTGTTATGCAAAGTTGCCAAATTAGGGAGCTGTGGCCTGGAGACAATACGTTTCCAGTAAATGGGGAAGCCAAGGTTTGAACTCTGGCCATTTGACTTGAAAACATGCTACT